ATATATATATATATATATATTTTATTTAACTTTATTTATTTTAATTTGACCAGCGAGGAACAAAATGAGAGAGAGTGAGAGAGTGAGAGAAAGTGAGAAAGCAAGCCACTAGGTCTGGGACTCGAACTGTTGTCAGCCATGAGGGAGTCCAGCGCCCCATCAACCATGCCACCTGCCGGCCCCCTGATGTGTTTTTCAAGTTGCCAGGTCCAAGACTTGAATCATGTGAGATACAGCTGACTTATTCATGACACTACTGGCTGGTCCTATTTCTTTGTAAAACTAAAGAATTCCCAAGTATGTAATATGCAAACAAAGTGGAAAGACCACTGTTCTGCCTGACCCTTGCAGGCAATTGAGTTTAACTCTGATCTATAACCAAGGTAGGTTTTCTGTGGATTGAACTCTTTTTCAGATGAAAAAATATAAATGTATTTTCTCAATGACTAACAAGAAGTACAATAGCAAAGGAGAAAAAAAGGAGGCATGGGGGAGGTTTTTCAGGAAGAGACCCAAATGTGGAAAGGCAGAGGTAGGCTTAGGAAAGGATTTACTTAAAAGTGAGAGTGGGAGCTGTGATTACCAGAAAAACTGTTTTCGGGCAGCTATAAGAATTGGTGAGAACCTTGAGGTCCTTAGAGTTATCTAGGGGATTAAAAAGAAAGGATTATGGGTTTTTTTCAGAGTGCTAGGAAGGACTCTTGGCTGATTTAGATAGCCTCTTTTGCTCTTCCTGCTTTCATCAGATTGAAGGAAATGGTGAAGGGATTCACAATGGCCATCTGGAAGCACGGCAGTGCATTATATCTGTGTCCCCCAGTAGACTGTGTACTCCTAAACGTTTGACTGTATTTTATTAATAAGTATTTGGGACCTGCTTGAGGGTGAATGGGCTTGAGAACTCGCTTGCATAATATTTTTAGGGAAGAATTTGGCCACTTTCCTGAAGCTATAATTGCAAAGTTTCTTGTTAGCCCATAGTTGAGAGTAAAAGAGCAAAATGTCCCTAGTTATTGTAACAAGTAAAAATTCTTATATATGGGGGCCAGCAGTTGGTGTAATGGCTATGATGCTGGACTCTCATGTAGTTGACGATGGTTCGAGTCTTGGACCTGGTGGCTTAAACTCACCCTGGGTGTGTGTGCGTGCATGCCCAAGATCCCGAGAGGAGAATGGAGGAGAAGGGATTGTGGTGTTATTTCTCACTTTCTGTCTCTGTCTCCCTCTGTCTTTTTGGTGAGTCCCCATGCCCTATAGCAAAAACCTCTCCAAAAAAAAAAAATTCTTGTATATGTGGGAGGAGACACAACTCAAAATTAATATTAGGATGGTACGATCATGGCTTTTTAAAAAATCTCATAAAGTTTCTTGTTAGATTTGATTGTCTTTTCAGAAAAAAAGAGGAAGGCTAGGGTACAGGAAACTGTACATAGTTATTAAGGTGTGTGAGTGAGGCTGATAATCTCGCTACTTCTTTCTTTTGCTTAGTGTGGTCACTCTTCTCTTTCTCTGGAGAGAAATCAAAGTAGGAAATGTGGAAGTCAAAATGAAATGAAAGATAACAGGTTTCTTTTCCTTTTTTTTTTCTTTTTTGCCCTAGGGCATATGACTTAGCTAGAGAGAGACAGAGAGAAGGAAAGCGAGAAATCATCCCCTATGAGGATGGCCATGCCACAAACCTTTCTTCCCCATTCTCCTCTCAGGATTTTGGCCACATACTCATATGCCCCAGTGTGATTTTCAAGCTACTGGGTCTGGGACTAGAAACACAGAGGGATATGTAGGTGATTGCCATTGGGTGGAACACCTAGTGCTATGCAGTTGCTGATGACTAAGGTGGCAGAATCACATGACCCTACTCTTTTTTTTTTTTTTAAGAGGTTTTTTTGCTATAGGGCGCGTGTGCTCGTCAGACAGACAGAGACAGACAGAGAGTCAGAAAGCGAGAAATCACACCCCGGGGGGATGGCCATGCTGCAATCCCTTCTCCTCCATTCTCCTCTCGGGATCTTGGGCATGCACGCACACACACCCAGCGTGAGTTTTAAGCTACCGGGTCCAGGACGTGAACTGCGGTCGACTATGTGGGAGTCCAGCGACATAGCCATTACGCTAACTGCTGGTCCCGGCCCTACTCTTAAGAGGGAATCTGAGTGAGACAGATTTAAATGGGTTCCTCTCCAAAATACTTTCTTTTCTCCCACAGTCTTTCTCTGTTTTTCCCTTTCCAACTTCTTGTTACTTGCTATCTTCTTTCTTTCTTTTCTTTTTCCTTTCTTTATGAGTCTCAGTAGATATACTGATACGAAGCTTCAGAAATTTATATTCAACTCTAAAAATAATAAACTCTTTTATAGCATGGGCCTTTTATGCTGCTCTTAAGAGCAGATGAGAGAATTGGCTAACTTAACTCACCATTTCAAGCCAATTCCAACTTGGCTTTTGGTCTTTAGTTACTCAAGTGTTATAGCATGCCTTTTTTTTTTTTTTGAGAGGTTTTTGCTATAGTGCGCTCGCCAGAA